GTAAACATATCTTAATCATTCCTTCCAATAAGATGTATTCTTTTCTGAAATTTGTAGGTAACTGCAATTTCTTCAAAAAGACAACTTTGTATGTTTTTGAAAAATTTTTGCCTAAAGTTTTCCCTTTCTTCTGTAAGATTTTCTTGGAGGGTAGAGAGGTTATTGATGGGAATGCACATGAATTTCTGAAAGTGCTTGCAACTTCAGTGGCAAAAGATGTATTGTTCAGTATTTGTCGAGTTCTATCTGAAACAGAAATGAGTAATATTTATTAAGTATACATATTTATCATAATCTATACTCAAAATGTCTCTGTATTTAAAGATCATTGTTATCCTTTTCTTATCTATGGTGACAATTAATATTAGTACAGAAAATTAAGGAATTTGTCCCTTAAAACTGGCAATCTGAAATCCAGATTTCATTTTAAAAAAAAAAACAGCAAAGATCATTCAAACACTCTATTCACTGTGTTATTACCAACATGTCCAGTTACAACAACAAAATCATGTGTGTCATTTGGAATGATGAAATCCTCTTCATTGCATTCAACTGCTCGCCATCCATCTCTTAAGTATTTAACCCCAATACCTCCAGGAAACTGTGATGACAATGTCTTTTTTGACAATGTCCGCCCTGCTTTTAAAGGCATTTTAACAGCATTTCCCTGTTGGTGGAGTGCAACATTTACAAACTCCATCCTGTGAAAATTTAAAAAAAGTATCTGTAACAATTTACTTCCAACATACACATCACTATCCCTCCTGGGTCCATCTTTACTAGCGAAGTGTTTTCTGATCTGCTACACATCTCACTAGTGAGAAGTGTAGTGTGAAGTGGATCAGAAACACTAGGTTAGCAAAGATATCCTTGGTCTGGAACCCTCATTGCTACAATTCCAACACTTTTTAAAGGATGGCCTAAATCTTGATCTCTTTAAATATTTCATTATAGCATAAATTATTCACTTGACCAATATGTTATACAAATCATAAGTTGTTTAATCCCCTGTATGTTCAGCACACAATGATTTAACCCTCAAAGCCATTGAAGGGGGGGGGGGGGGATAGGTTGGAAAGAAATTGTTGGTAGCGGTTTACTCCATCCACACCAATTTAAATCCTGGACCAATTTAGAAATTTGCTTCACCGTGCCCAAAAAGCTCCAATCTATTTTACATGTAAATATCCAACTCTCTCTTCATGTCCAGGGATGGGGTAATGATAATGTGTAATGGTAATTGACAGTAATTAATTACAAATTTTGATGTAATTGAAAGTAATGTTTAATTGGCCCCATTGGCCGCATACAGACGCCCGAGGAACCTGAAGGACATGGTAGTAAGAACCAGATTGGACAATCCATTACCGAACGGGGGCTTTAAAACTTGCTCTGACAGAAGATGTCTTCTCTGTAAGTACAGCTCTGACACAGACAGTTTTAACAGCCCCGTTACAGGCCGCAGCTACAAAATACTAGGGAATTTGTCCTGTCAAACAGACAACTGCATTTATCTCATCAGTTGCAAAGTTTGCTCCAAACAGTATGTTGGTGAAACAGGAGATCTCCGCAGGAGAGTCAATAATCACCGTTCTACCATTAGGACCAAAAAACTCAATGAACCCGTTGGGGAACATTTCAACCTTGAAGGTCACAAATGGGAGGACATGACAGTAGTGGTTATTGACCATAATCCAAGATGGACAGACGCGCAGAGAAAAGGCAAGGAAAAGTTCTGGATGCACAGGCTGAAGTCATTCCGCCCTAATGGTATTAACAAACTTAATGACTTCACCAGGATGAACGTGAACTAGACCCAATCCCGGATTGTAACAAACAAGTTCATTCTCTCTATAAAGTGTAAACTTTACCGTTAATTCGTATTAGTAATCCTGGAACAACCTACCCAAATATTTACAGCTCACATTTTTGTTTATTTCTTTTTTCCGATTTCCAAATTTATAATATATCCAAGTTCATATTTCTAAATTGTCCTTCCATATTATCTTTCTTTAATTTCTTTTTATCATGTAGAGTTACGCTATTTTGAGAGAATAAGACAATGTACGATTTACTGTTGGCCGTAATTAATTAGCGATAATTAATTCGTTCAATTATGTAAATCACACTTCACCAGACTACACCCGATAGACCGGACGCAATTCATAGCGCTCCGGATTTCTTTGTTCACAACGGTTTATAAACTCAAAATTAAACATGTAACATTGTAAATATTAAGTGTTTGGTAGTTTAGTAGTAGTGCTAGTTGTTTTTGCTTCTCTATTTCCTTTGTTTTTATGACTTCTTAACTTTTTTCTTTGTCCTGAGGAAGGGACAGGTTGTCCCGAAAATTTGACAATTATTATTGTTCGTGTCTTTGGTCATTTTTAGTGCTTTATATATATAAAAGTGGGCAAAAGCGTACATGATACATTTTACGGGAACTCCAATAGTAGTCGGACAGAGGATTGATGTGTGGTGCCCCTCTGAAACGGTGGCCCGATATGTACAAATACAGATCGTAATGGGATGGACAAACGTTCTTTCCCCAGCAGAGGTCATTGCATGGGGCCATTTGTGAATGAACAAAAGATTGTTGATAAATATTTTATGCATGGAATGAATTATTTTTCACTGGGTAGATCTCTAATCAAGGCATTGAGTACTTTTCTCTCTTAAATCAATCTCACGTGCAGAACGCAAAAAACATTTCAATTTGAAAATTATTTATATCTCTGTCTTAATAAAAAGTCTTAGCAAAAACCCTGTGCTAAATAATAGATCTACGTCAGTCTGCTTCATAGAAATGTTTTATTGTTCTGTATACTTAACAAAGTAAAAACTTTAATTTCACTCCATTAAAAATGCTCTTTAAATTCGGGAATTTTAACCTGAAATATTTATATTGTGCATTCTTTTCGTGCATGCACATTACATCTTTTTCAAGCGAACGATAGGCGATCAGATCGCTTCAAACAATGAGAGAGAGAGAGAATATGTCGGTGGGTTTTTTGTTGTTGTTGTTGTTGTTGTTGTTTTGACTCTCTTGCTAGAATTTTTCACTCATGTAATACGTCTTCAGAGACACGTGATTTACAATTGTACTTGCCATGAAGGATCTTTAACGGGCTAAAGCCTGTCCTGCCACAGGGCCTAGATTTTTAAGTAATGTTCGAAAATTGGGACCAAACGTCCTAAAACTAATACCCGAGGTTTTAGTTTTTAAACAGCTTGGTACATGTAATTCTTTATAAAAACAACCGCAAACTACCTTTGTTTTCTATTACAGTATATGATAGAATATATTTAGGGAAGAAGCTACCCAGTGTTCCTCCCCTCACCTGGTTCCTACGGACCTGGTGAAATATTAATCCCAATGAATAGACACGTGTAATTTTACATTAATGATCAAAATTCAATGTTGTTGCTCGGGCTAGGGGTAGAATTATACACAGTGGAGCACCATATTCAACGTTGAAATATGTTTCTCCTCTTCAATTTTTTCAACCCGTGTCAAAATTCTTTGTTATACCGGGGCTTTAGTCCATTACCTTTTGACTATGGAGGGAGCGCTCTACTTACTGAACTACTGAGCCGGTCCTATTACTTGTTAATTAAAAATAAAGTAAAAAGCAGGGTTTGCACAAAAGGGAGGGTACTCAAATTTACCAGGACAGTGTTAAAAACTGTGAATGTAGACTGGTAAGTCCCTGTCTAGTAATTGCAGGGATTTACTGACATTTTCAAGGAATGACAATTGAAATGGAACTCATAAATTTTCTTACCTTATAATTGGTCATTTGCAAAATTAACTTGTTAAAAAGATTGTATACACAATTACTCCGAAGATGATATTATAAAGATGATTGAATTTCTGATTGACAATACTATGTAGCTTTTGGAGATCAAGTCTTCCAACAATCAGTCGGAATTCCCATGGGTACTTAATGCGCCCCGTTATTAGCGTCCTATTTTTGTATCCATATGAAGCAGAATTTATTCAAGAACTTCTACGTGAAAAAAACCCATCTCTCGCTGATGTCTTCAATTCAACATTTAAGTCCTTACAATCAAAGATACATAGCGGGTTCCAGTAAATGTTCTACCAAGCCTCTTCTTTACTCCTCACTATAATGTTGACAGCAGTGAAGAAGAAATTTTCTTAACTTATTATTGGTCATTTGCAAGATTAATTTGCTAAAAACATTCTGATTGTATGCTCAAGAACTCCGAAGTTGATATCATAAAGATTACTGAGTTTCCGATTGGCAATATCTATGTAGTTAGTGGAGATCAAGTCTTCCAACAATCAGTCGGAATTCCCATGGGTACTAAATGTGCCCCGTTATATGCAGTCCTACTTTTGTAACCAAATGAAGCAGAATTTATTCAAAAACTTCTACATTAAAAGAAGACATGTCTCGCTGTGGTGTTCATTTCAATATTTAGATATATCGTCGACCTTTTATCAATGAACAACATTCATTTTCATTCCTACGTTAATGCAGTAAGTCGCTCTTAACTCAAAATAAAACAAACAAAAGAATCTGAAACATCTTTTTTCATATTTGGATATTTTACTAGACAATTTTATCTATCTATCTATCTATCGCTATCTGTCTATCTATCTATTTATCTATCTATCTATCTATCTATCTATCTATCTATCTATCTATCTATCTATCTATCTATCTATCTATCTATCATCTACATGTATCTATCTAATTTTCTTTCTCTGAAACATTCAATATGTAACATGTATCTAAGGCTACTGTTCAAGCATAAAATTTCTAAATTAGATATTTAATGAGAATGATGACACAGCAATGAAGGAATGCCTATTTAGTCGAAACGTGTCATGTTTTGAAATATGGAGTATCCTGCTAAAAGCAATATAGCATCTGTGCACAGGTTACACGTTGCTTCTGATAACATTTGTCACATCTACTTGATTGATGATGTCTACATCTACTTCGACTTTTTAGCGTTTCCATGTTTGAATGGCAAACTACATGAAGATGCACTTCGTTATGTTCGTCTTGCTTTTGATTTGCATCCATGAAACCAAACTTGCTATAAGCTTCAACGACCTTACAAATGTTGCGTATGGAAAACTTGCAATTCAAAGTTCAGAATATCCTACTCGAAAATATCCAGCATCTAAAGCTGTTAACGGTATTCTTACAGATTTCGCCCACACTGACGAGGAAAAAACACCTTGGCTCCGGATTGATCTTGGAAGGAACTACAAAATACATGAAATAGAAGTCATTGCAAGAAGCAACTGTTGTGGTATGTATTCATCGATTACAAAATTATACATTCATCTCTTCATCCAGTGATGCAATAAAATAAAAATAAACATAAATTTAAAAAAAAGTAAAGATACGCAGTATTAGCTATCCCCGAGGCTCCCTTTAACATTGTTTTACTGCAAATTGCACTACACATTTTTTTTTTTTTTTTTTTTTTTACTATTTTACTTTTTGCCTCAAATTTATTAAATCAGCGCCTTTCGGTTAATGGATAGCCCAATGGCTTAATCCAACCTAATCCTTAATCTCGGGAAATATTTTTTTATTGTTATGAATAAAAAATTCAGATCACAAATGTAAAAGCATTTTTTTCTCCTTACTAACAACATTACATATTGTCTTTCTAACCAAAATCTAATGCGGTTACTAATCATCACCAATGTTACTAATGATAACAACAATAGTTTTAAGTCCCTTTCTCAGTCAGGCGTTGGCACGATAATGATCCCTCACTGCTCAATGGCCCTGAGTGCCGAGTAAAGGTCAAAATTTTAAACCCTTCTCCGGTATATGGTGACGTCTCTATATGAGCGAAAAATTCTCGAATGGGACGTAAAAAACATATAATCAATCAGTCTGTGTGTATTTTGAAAAAAATGAATAAGCAATTTTTCTTTAATCGATTAATCAATTAATAATAAAAAAAAAGAATTCCAATCTCTTTGTGCAATCCTTTTTTTTCAAGGGAGTCAAATAGATACTTGTACTTCCTATTCATATGAATAAAAAATGGTAGGGGACATTTGATTCAGTATATTTTATTGAAATATCTTGATTATCTTGATTTTATAGGAACACGTTCTACTAAAAAGTAAAATATATATTTGATATATGATAATGATATAGATAAGGAAAATGTCCTGAACATTGCATTTGCTTTTATGCAAACAAATAAAGAACAATGCTCTAAATATATATAATTTAAAGAATAAATTTGTCGTGGTTACATTATGTAACCAGAAGATGATATATAAAACATTTTTTTTTCCAATATTTAGCTGACCAACTCCACGACCTAGACATAAAAGTGGGCAAAAGCGTACATGATATGTATCTTTGTGGTCATTATACGGGAACTCCAAAAGTCGTCGGGCAGAGGATTGCTGTGTGGTGCCCCTCTGACACGGTGGGCCGATATGTACAAATACAGATCATAATGGGATGGAAAAACGTTCTTTCCGCAGCAGAGATCATTGTATGGGGACGTTAAACTTTGTAAATGAACACAGATTTGTAGATTACTAAACATTTTTGCAAGTAATGAATTATTCGTATATTCTTATTCTTATGAAATTTGCTAATTATTTTTTTTTATTTTTGCAGGAATGCTGTATATGTACTTGTCTTAATAATTAGTGATTAATTTTCATATTCATAAAATTGTAGTTTATATGAAAAACCGTAAAAAGAAAGGTGAAAAAATATATTTCTTTACCTGCAGCTGGTAATTTACATGCAAAAAATCTTGTGATTTATATTTGAAGAATCATTAGATTATCGAATATTTATCAAGAGATTATCAAATATAAATAACACATAAGTGAATATAAATCAATTTTAAAATAGTAATATCTCTAACAACTTTTTCGAATGCAAACTGAATTCCCCAAAGAAATATAAAAGATTATCCAATATTAATTTAAACATTAAATTAAAATTACTACTTTTTGTATGAATATGAATTATTAACATGTTTTCCAATATGAATATTAACTTTTCAATAATGTCAAAAAAAATGTCAATAAACTAATATAATTCAAATAGAAAAAAAAACAAAGAAGATGGGCGAACAAGGAGAGCAAAATGCATATTGTGCGACAAATATGATAGTAAAAAATTAATCTCAATAATGCCAAAATTTTCTTTGATATTTTATTTAACATTAACGTTTACTTTATGTGAAATCTCCACAAATCGCAAAAATCTCAAAAATATTGAAATTATTGGCCTATATAATAGCATACATATACCAAAGAGAGCAAAATGGGGCAATCCTTCGTTCTAAAAAACAGTTTTTCCATATGAGTGGGTCTTCGCTCCATTTTTTGAAAGATTATACTCAAATATGCGGAAAAAATACATTCTTCGGTTAACATAAACATGGAGCAATGACTCACTATACATTAAAATACACTTTCATGACACAACATTCGTACCTTTCCCAGAGATATTTGAAGTCCATTTAGTCAAGACTACTATCACAAACGTGATCTAAATGCCATATTTCTTTTGAGAGGTATAGCGTAGTGATTAGCGTATTAGTCTCAATGGGAAAAAATATACTCAGGATTTTTATTGCTTGGGTTGGAACCCCAAGAATACCTTTTTTTTAAATCATAAAATGATTTTTGCCGAGAGAATTTTCCACAGAAACATTTTGTTTCTTTTCTCTCAAAACTTTTAAATAAAAATCAAAAATTGAATTTGACTTTTATAATTTTGAAGCTATAGGCATTTTGCACTCTTTGTTCCCCCATCTCCTTTTTCAAAATATAAACATGATTATACAACTATGTACCGGTTTTTAGCCAAAAAGTTACCTAAGGATATAAAAGAAGAAAGAATTAAAAATGAGATCACTTGTTACAAAAATATAGAAATAATATATGTCACAATATTAGAGAAATGGCATTGAAATGGTGAGATCTGTTCTGATAAAGAAAAAGAAGTCTGCTTAATCTAACAATCCCTGTTTTAATTAGGGAAAAACCCTTATTCTGGCTTTAAGTAGGTATATTAGTTAAGTATTTAGGCACTTTATCTTTTGACATGTTGGAGATAGGAGCAACAAGTACTTTATAGCTTATCTCTTTCTTTTGATAAGAGGTCCCTTTATTGTTTCAAAATATAACCATATGCGCTTACCGTTCAAGTGGATGTATGCTTTTTCTTAATTCATTGAGAAGAGGGGGTTTATTTTTGGAGGTAAAATATTATGCCAAATGCCTTAAATAAGTAAATATTTCTTACGAGACAACATCAGAAGAGTACAAAAATCATTTTCACACTCGAGATACATTCTCGTTACAATGTCAATATCGGCCATCATCCCAGAATATGGCGTACGTTTTAGCACTAGTCCGAGAAAATTGAAGCAGTATTTTTCCTCACAACGTAAGGGTGTATTCGGAATTTAGAAAGAAAGGACCTATAGAAGAGAACAATTTCGAGAAAAAAATCACAATTCAAAATCAATGTCCATGAGATATATGTCCATATATTCATATATACATATGAAGTAGTCCTGACTCCTGACACCAAAATGAATGAAATTTTCTCAAATGAAACTATATGATCTGTAGGCTATAATACAGTTTTTTTTTAAAAATATCTTTTCTAGTTTTTTTTTTTGTTGTTTTTTTTTTTTTTTTTTTTTTTTCGTTTAAATTTGATATTGGATTCCAAGTGAACACGATAGAAGGGCATAACGTTGACACGATATATTATAACGTCATGACGTTGTCATTTTTTTATAAGTAGGTAATGCATGAACGTTAATGAAATAGAGTCCAGCAAAATAGACCTTAATTCAAAAATTTGGGAAAAATTTTACTAGGGCAATAAGTAGGGTGAATGGCTCCAGATGAATTGGTGAGTGTTCATTAAGGCATGCATTGATCAACAGAATTCTAGGTGTTATATCCCCTTCGCTCGGGACTTAGTTGGGCTGTATGGGTGCCGTTGTGGCCCAAATCTTAGAAAAACAAGCCAACATCCAGGGAGGATCCGGTACATATGCACTCTCATATGTTATATATTGACATATTTTTAAGCTATGGGTATATGAGGTGTAATTTATAAGCTCCCAAGAAACTGTCCCAACGTATCTGTTTTTATTGACCTCATGTATATGCCTACCCCCTCTGTAAGACTAGCCCTCAGTCTTTTGAATTATAGAAATTCAAAATTATCTATAACAATCTAGATTGTTATAGACAGTTTTAAATTTCTTAAATTGCAAAACTTTAATTTAACACATGTTCGTAATACCGCATTATATGATGTTCCCTGATGACAACCCTATAATTCAAACACTAAGGGACAGCTTGTAGGATACAGCTCAGTAGTTTAGGAATTAATGTTCAGGTTGAAGGCTGTTGGGCAATATTGATCTAGATTTGTTCATGTGAATACTGGGCAAAAACAGTAAAATATCCAAATATGAAACAGATGTGTCAGACTCTGTGGTATCTTTAATTTCAAGCTGACTGGGATATATCGTATCGACATACGAATGGAAACAACCATTGATAATTGACAGTACGTCGTCGATATATCTAAATGTCGAGTTGAAGGCCACAGCAAGTGTATTCTTCATTTCACAAACAAGATTGTGAACAAATTCTGCTTTATATGAATACAAAAGACATCAACAAACGTGCTTGCAAGCATAATTATCCATTCTAATCTTTTAAAAAGATGCAGGTATTCCTAAATGAGATAATAAAGTTTTGTGGAACATAAACTTCGAATAAACTGCGAAAGGCAGAGTTTACTTTCTTTGCAAGAGTTATCTTTTTTGATGTTGGGGTGGTCGAAATTACCCCAAGGCCAATCGAAATGAACTCGTGAAACATGCTTTTTTATTTTTAATCCAAATTTGTTATTCTTAATGTATTTTCAACTCGTAAAGCAGAAAAATATGAAGATAAACAATCTTAAGGTATGTCACTCGTCAGTTTTGAGAAAAGTTTGGCAGGAAAGTCTACCTTCAAAATTATTTATTTCAACTCAATTTTTATGACATATTTGTATTAAACAATGTAAAATGTGCAATATTCAATTTAAAAAACTGCTCACAAAATTGTAAAGAAACAATATTTCTGGGGGACTATTTCTTGTGGTATAAAAAATTATTTAGAATAAATTTCTCCGAATCTACATATTTATTTGAAATCTTTGATTTTTAGCCTTACATGTTTTTACTCGGAGAATTTTTTCGTTATGAGATGCTAGGAATATTAAATGTAGGTTTCAAATAAATTTTTGTTTTAAACAAATTTTACACATTTTCTTAACAGACTTTGCCAAAAATGAACATATCAGCTTCAGTTGGTATTGTTATGTACACGAAAGGGTTCCTTACATTGTTTTGTACACAAAAGGGTTGACCAAAACAAGGAGAATGTTTTCACTCTACCTGGAATAACGGGATCAAATGAATGGGGAACGGACTATATTCAAGATTTTTAACTCTCTCTGACAGTTGTTACGAGGAAGAAAATATAATGTCATGTTTTATGTGTATGCATTGTTGTGCTTCTTATACAACGATATACATTTCTACAAGTAAATGCAACAATTAATTATCTGATTCATGTTACTAAGCACGAAGAAGAACGGCCAAGTATAATAAAATTAATCAGGTTAAAATTAAGAAGGAGGGTAGAATTCACTTTATATTTTTATTACATATCTCGCTTGTATATTATTTCAGTGTTCGTAAATACAGTGTAAATAATTTTACCATTTGTGCTAAACTTCAAAACCACTGGATTCCGCCGACAGCAAAGAAACACTTGGGAAATGCTGATAATTTACCTGTTAAAAAACAATTAGATACCTCGAACCTGCTGTAAACAAGTTCCGGTAATGAGTTATCGTTCTTTACATCGTACCCTAGCGGCAGTTAAAAGGTCTACTCAGAAAGATGCACACTGATCCCCAATTTTCTTTGCGATTTTGAGTCATGCTATATGAGTAGTTAACTAAATTATATTTCCCAAAAATAAACTTGATATAACTCATTGTCACGAGTGAAATAGCTAACTACTCTGAATCTATTTCAAATTCAAACTAATACATAAACTTTAAAATTGTCGCTTAATGGGGATTCAAAGCCATACATCAGCAAAAGTGGTCGAAATTACCCTGATTTATCCTATTCGTGATTTAACTTCAGTCGAAGTACTCGTGTGGAGAAATGTTGTACACTGTAATCATGAATTAATGATGACGTGGCCATTGATACTTGATTTTAATTATTTCTGTGATATTTTTCAGAACATCTTAATACATGCTATTTAAATTATTAAATTTTTTTTATATTAAATTATAATAATTATTTAATCATATACTCATCAAGTTATGTCGAAAATGAAGTTCCATTTTTACCAAGTCAAAAATAACTACATTTTCCCCGCTGGGAATTTTTACTGCCTTAAATGTAATTTTCAACTTCAAAAGGAACCATTTTATTATTTTAGAAACTGAAAGTACAAGTTTCATACCTTCATGCAGATGAAGACAAAAATCTGTCAGAAAATTGCAAATAGACATTCCAAGCTCTTTCA